TTTTTTTGGGGGGGGGGGGGGCGGGGAGGTGTAGAGGGTGGGTGAGCGGCAGGCCTCTGGCTGCCCGGCAAGTCGCTTCGGGGCGCTGATGCCAAGCACGAGCCCGACGCTGCTGCACTGACGCAGGCCAGGCAGGCAGCCTGTCGGCTCGCAAGCGGACGGCTGGCAGAGCAGGGGGCGCCGCAGCGGGCACGGGGGGGCACCTTGACGTGAAGGTATTGCACGCCGTCGACGTGGAAGGCGGGCGGCGCGTCCCTGCCCTCGCCGTCCCAAAACTTGGCCTTGCGGAAGAAGACCTCGGCGCTGCTCTGCAGGGGGAGCGATTGGGGGGAGGCGAGGGTGAGCACGCGCCAGGCAGCAGCCCCCCAGCGGCTGCCAGCCGCCGGTGCCCGCCGCCGCCACCAGCGGCCACCCACGCCGCGCCTTGGGGACGTTGCCTTTGAAGTCCTTGAAGATGATGGTGTCCCCCCGGGGGGACAGCAGGAAGACCTGGCTCAGCATGGCGCCGGGAGCGCGGTCAGATCACTGCGCCTTGACCTTCTTGCCGAAGGAGACCAGGGTGATGATGCCGTTGACCACGGCGTTGATCAGCACCACCGCGGGGATGAAACCGGCGACAGCAGCCAGAGCGATGTAGAGGTCCTCCCGAGGAAATGGAAGGGGATAGCCGAAAAGTTCATCCACGGGCTCCCACTCCATGGTGCATCGGTGGAGGGGGAGCGCTCCGCGCGCCTGAACATGCCAGAGCTGTCCTGCGGCGGCGCGGCGTGCAAACCGCGGCCGGCTGATGAAACTCCAGCTGCAGCAAGCTGTCAAGACCCTGCAGCCTCACGCTTCGCCGCGCCACGTTCGTGTCGAGTTGTGTGCACCCCTGAGCCACCGCCCACGCTCTGATGGGCAAAGTGGCCCTCCGGTTTGAAGTAGAAGCGAGCAGCGATGGACTTTGACGACGATCTGGACAGCCTGCTGGACCTGGAGAATGAGATAGCGGAGGAGGGGACCCACAAGCGCAGCCTGGCAGACCTGCAGTCCCAGCAGGATGCCGCGCGCTGCCTGGCAGGTGTGTTTGCCAGGGCGGTGCTGTGGGGTGCGATCTGCGCTCCAACCGTGCGTTCCGCGCAGCCCTGAAGCCCCGCCGCCGCCGCCGCCGCCGCCGCCTGATGCAGACCCGCCTGGCGGCAAGCGGGCCCGGGTGGACGGCAGCGCCGCCCCACCCCAGCCTCGCCCGCTGCCTGCCGACGACCTAGATGATGAGCTGCTGGCACTGGCGGCGGCAGGGCAGCCCTCGCCGCAGCACACGCTCAACACGTACCGGGCCATGGGGGAAACCGAGGAGCAGGGCCTGCTGCTGGCGCTGGCCGCCGACTCCCAGCCCTCCATGGCACCACGCCGCGGCGGCGCCAGCTACCGCGCATTCACCACCACCACTGGCCTCACGATGGGGGCCACGGAAGAGCAGCAGCAGCTGCTGGCGCTGGCCGCACCCACGCAGCCCTCGCAGTCGCAGGGCGGCGGCGGCGCCAGCGTGGCGGTGGTGCGCCCCCCAGCAGCTACCAGCACTCGCGGCGCCGGTGGTGGCGCCGACGATGATGATTTTGATCTGGATGAGCTGCTGGATGAGCTGCTGGATGAGGAGCTGCAGGAGCAGGCGGCGGCGCGTGGCGGCGGCGGTGGCGACGCCAGCGCAAACGCCGGCGGCGGCGCCCAGCCAGGCGCGGCAGCGGCGGCGGTAGGCTCGGGGCAGCCGCCGGCAGCGGGGGCGGGGGCGGCAGGCGGGGCGCAGGCGGCGGAGCCCGAGTTCTTGCTGCCTGCGCGGCAGTATGTACCGCCTGCCAGGGAGGTGTACCGCATCAGCGGCGCCAGCCTGGCCGTCACCGCTGAGAACGGGGAGCGGGTGTACTGCCAGCTGGAAGCGCCACAGCCGCCGTGCTCCACCGTCGGCACCACGCGCAGCAGGTGCGGCCCCGCCTGCTCACTCCTGCGCCTCCCCGCCTGCCCTGCGGGCGCAACCACCGACGTGCCACATGCCACAAACATGCCGCATGCTAGCTCCCAATCCCCGCCTAGCTCCCATCCACCTCTGCCCCCGCCACCACCTGCCAGACCCTGCCATGCAACACCCTGGTTGCCTGCCCACCCTTCCTACCCACCCTGCGCAGGAGCCTAGATGTGGCGGGCCTGCTGCGGCGCGCCCGCGGCGGCCTGCTGTCAGACCCCATCTCAACTCTGCTGGCGGCCGTGGAGCAAGACCAGTACGACCGCGCCGTGGCAGAGACCGCCGCGGCGGCAGCCACGGCCTCGGCCGCTGCCGCCGCCGCCGCGCAGCACCAGCCGCGCACGCCCGGCGGGCGGCGGGGGGAGCGCGGCGGGAGCGGCGGCGCCGCGGGGCGCTCCTCTGCTGCGCTGTGGGTGAAGAAGTATGCTCCCAAGGGCTACATCGACCTGCTGAGCGACGAGCAGATCAACAGGTGCGTGGGGGTGGGAGCAGGGGTCCGCCTGGCTGCGGCACGGGCGCGCTGGCAGGCCGCTCCTGGAGCAGAGTAGCAGCAGCATGCGGGAGTGCAGTGGCTGAGCTGCGGCCTGCTGCCCGCGCGTGTGTCGCCGCGCGTCCCTGCGCCGCGGCGGCCCCTGCGTACCTCTGCTCACCGCCTGGCTGCCGCCCTGGCCTGCGGGATGCCCTGCCGCGTGGCGCCGCAGGGAGGTGGTGCGCTGGCTCAAGGGCTGGGACCCGTGCGTGTTTGGCACCGCGGCGCCGCCCCAGCGTGCGCAGCAGCGCCGCGACGGCTTCCCCTCCCGCCTCGCCGCGCACGGCGGCGCCGGCCAGCAGCAGCCGGGGCAGGGGGGCGGCGGGGGCGCCGCCGACCCGCTGGGGCGACCCGAGCATAAGATCATCCTCATCGCCGGCCCGCCAGGTGTGCGGGGCTGCCTGGGGGGAGCAGCTATGGGTGCGCCTGCATGTGCAGGTGGCGGGTAC